ACTATTTTATTGAATAGCTTATATGTTCCTCAAATAGAAGAGAAAACCAAAAGACGTATTTTCCTTTTAAAAGGGAGATAATATGTTTAACCCAAAGAGAAAACTGATTAGAATAATTGCATTTTGGTACTATCTGCTTGACTTCCTCCTATAAAAAGTATAAATTACCAAACATCTATATTTAAAATAAGGAGTATAATATTAATATGGGACTTCATGGGATAAACAAAAATAAATTTTTAAAATCAGGGGATTTCTTGAGAAGGGAATAAGAGATTGAAAATTAGCTAGAAACCTATTCAGGGAGGTAGTAATTTGTAAAAAACAAATATCTAGGTGATGATGACAAAGCAAATAATGACAACTCTTAGAGAGGGTGATAATTATCTTCAGAATTTGAGTTTGCTTTTTGGCATTTTAAGGTAGAATTAAGTGGTTAATCTTATATATCCACAGTAAAGAAAATGGGCACATGATAGGAGTAGATAATTTTTTTAAGCACAAAGCTAAAAAACATATTTAACTGTTTAGCCTATGTTTATATCCATAAAACAATAAGAAACCTCTTTATCAAATTAATAAACAAAAGAAAATGGGCACATGATAGGAGTAGATAATTTTTTAAGTACAAAGCTAAAAAACATATTTAAATGTTTAGCCTATGTTTATATCCATAAAACAATAAGATATCTCTTTATCAAATTAATAAAGGTCAAAAACAATGATAATACTTAGTGTTGTTGACAGTGGAAGTATACAGTTTCATAGATGATTAGCAGAAAAATAAAAGGCATAACTTTTCTGGGAAGCAATTTAGCAAAATATAAGAAAAACCTCAAAAATGAGAAGAGTTTCTGCTGTAAAAATTCTACTTCTAATACTTACTTTTGGAAAATAATCATAAAAATGTCAAGGAGCTCTGGCTAGTGTTCTCAGTGGTTAGAGCATTGACCTATGAACCAGGAGGTCATGGTTCTATTCCTAGTCAGGGCATACGCCCAGGTTCTGGGCTTGATCCCATGGGCATGCAGGAGGCAGCCGATGGATGATTCTCATCCTTAACGTTTCTCTCTCTCTCCCTCTCCTATCCTCTCTCTGAAATAAATAAAAACATATTTAAAAGTCCACTGATGATGTGTTATGATTTACATTGTGAAAAACTGACTCATTTAATATTATATCTTCTATGCATATACATGGAAAGAAATTTATAATGCTAATAAAAAAACAACTTCTGAATTATTAGTTATAATGTGACCTCAAATTTTAAAAAATCCTATAGCTATAGATATGAATGCTTACAAAAAAAGAATGCAAAAATGTTAGCAGTGGGAGAATTATGGATACTTATTGCTATTTGTATTCTTTTATCTTCTATTTTTATTTAAAAAGATATACTATTTATGTAATAATATTTTAATAAATATTTTATGAACAGTGGTATCCTCACTGAAGGTTTTGTCTCCAAAGGGTAAAAAATCAAAGTGCAAGAGTATGAGGATGTCATGAAGGTTAGGCTGAATGACAGGCCCAGGTGTTCAGGAGAGATGTCTAATTATCAGGAGAAACAACAAAGAACTTCTATATGTGCTCCAAAGATGAATGGGGGGAGAGGGTGAGGTCCCATGTCCTTTTATTTATTTTTTTTACTTTAAAATTCTTTAACTGGAGAAATAAACATTCATAAATTTTAGGGAGGTGGGATGGGATGGAATGAGGAAATTCAAAGATTATCAACTTTACTTTTAAGTGATTTACGTTCTGACACTGTTATCTCATCATCGGGGGAAAATAGTTCATGGTACTCTCAACCATCAAAATTATCTCAGAATTTCAAAAATACCGTTAGAATGATCACTAGATGTTTTTACAGCATCTTTAAAAATTATTAAAAGATTTCACCAACATCAAATAGGGTCCATAATAACTCTATGAGCAGAATCAAACCAATATGATTCATAGGGTCATTGTCAAACCCAGGTTTCTAAACTGCTTACACACAAAGGTGTACATTTCAGCCAAGGTTCTTAGAAGCAGTGGCAATAGAGACCAACTCTTGCTGATTTAGGCAGAACCGTTTGATTAAAAGGATATTGGGTTACACTTACACAAAATTTTTAAGGGATATTGGGTGGCTCACAGAAATGCTGGGAGAGCTGAAAAATTAGGCTTAAACTTAAGTGACAGGGATAAAACACCCACAGAATGGACCTGATAAGAAAGTGGCTAGAGTAACCAACCATCCTTGTCTTCAGTTTCCAGACAGCTTTCCATGCTAAAACTGGGAAAATGCTGGCCAAATTGTGACAAGTTTGTCACCCTACATCTGATGCCATGGACATCAAGCTCTGGCCACTTTTGCATTGGAAACTATAGCTTGCAGTAACATCTACTGCCACTAGGAGACAGGGAGAAAGAAAGGCGGAAGGAGGGAGAGACAGACTATTTCTTGTATCCAGCCAGGAGTCAAAGGTCCAGCATAAATGTCTGAATGGAAAGTCCAGGTTACATGCCTGTACCCTAGCTGCAAGGGAAGCAGAGAAGGTATTGGACATCTTCCACTTCCATTAGGGAAAAACCTTTGCTTACCATCAAGATTTTTAAAGTGAGGAATTCTCTAAATACAGGAAAGCCATTCAGGTGGCCAAAATAATAACCAATTTCCACTACAGTATCCAAATTATTTTTAATTGTCTAATATTATTTATTTAGGAAAACTAAGTCCACCATTTGTCTGACGTATAGTGGTTTCTTTGATTTAAAATTAAGTTTTGAAAGTCAGATTAACAGATGGTTACTATAATATTATCTTTATTATTTGACCATACAATAGTTTATGACTATTATAAACTTTAAAACTGAATGATGAGCATAATCCTATACTTTGTAAAAAACTTAATCCTTCTAACTTTTGTTCATCATACAGCATTGTTCCATTTCTATTATTTACACACACACACAAATTTCTTTTTTGTTTTCAATGTTTCTAGAGAAGACAAGTAGTTATACACAGGTTACAATGTATGCCAAGAAGAAATGGATTTTAATGGAAACCTTTTATCTAGGACAAACCTTAAGAACAGTAATGGACAATGTGTTCTGCACAACTCTTTAGCATTCCTTCTTTCTTACATTCATTGTGGTCAAGTGATTTGATCAAAGGATTTTAAGTCAATGCTTGTGTATTTTTCTTACCTGTTCATTTCTTTTACAGAATGACCTGGAACAAACCCATTAAGATTTTTTGTTTTGTATTCATATACTGAACTATAAAATGGGAATGCCTGTAATTAATCAAAGATATGGTTTCTACTTGTAGATGGTAAAGAACAAAACAATGGAGTAAGAATTCTGGTCCTGACTGGCCATGGTGGCTCAGTGGTTGAGTGCCGACCTAAGAACCAGGAGGTCAAAGTTTGATTCCCAGTCAGGGCACACGCTGGGGTTTCGGGCTCGATCCCCAGTGTGGGGTATGCAGGAGAAAGCCAATCTATGATTCTCTCTCATCATTGATGTTTCTCTCTCTCTCTCTCTCTCTCTCTCTCTACCTTCTTCTCTAAAATCAATAAAAATACATTTTAAAAAAAGAAAAAGAATTCTGGTCCTTTCATGATATAATGAGGTCTTGGTCATATTGCTTAAATTCTCATGTCTCAGTCTCCTCAATCCATAAATGATAATAATACCTGCATTATCTATCTATCTATCTATCTATCTATCTATCTATCTATCTATCTATCTATCTAAAAAGCCCTAAGCGACTGGTCGACCATTCAACCGTTTGACCAGTTGCTATGAAGCACACTGACCACCAGGGGGCAGACGCTCAATGCAGGAGCTGCCCCCCCGGTGGTCAGTGCACCCACAGGGAGAGCACCACTCAGCTGTCCGATGGGCACCAGATGCCGGGCTCACAGCTGGCAAGCACAGCAGTGGTGCAAGCCTCTCCCGCCTCTGCAGCAGCACTACCGAGCAGTGGCGGCAGCAGGCACAATGGGGCCGGGATGAGCGAGAGCGGTGCAGCGCCAGGCCCTGGCTTGGGCTCCTCCCTGGACGCCTGCCACTTCACGGACTACTACATCCCTCGGGGGTCTGGGATTATGAGAGGGCACAGGCCAGGCTGAGGGATCCCACCAGTGCACTAATTCGTGCACCGGGCTTCTAGTATGTATATATGTGTGTGTGTGTGTGTGTGTGTGTATAAAAGCCCAGCAACCAAACGGTGAAATGACCAGAACGACCGGTCGACCAGTCGCTATGACATGAACTGACCACCAGGGGGCAGATGCTCAACACAGGAGCTTCCCTCTGATGATCAATGCACTCCCACAGTGGGAGCACCGTTTGGCTGACCGGGATGAGCGGCTGCCCAGGGTGAGGCCGAGTCTCTGCACCTATCAAATACCTGAGACAATCCAGACTCTGGCCTGTCCCCACCAGCTGATGCAGGCCCTCTAAGGTGTGTTCTAGAAAGAGCGCAGGGAGCTTGCATAGGCAGATGGCAAGAGGGGACATGACCCCCGAGGAGGCTGTCCTGATGGCTGAGGATCCTGGAGCATGGCTGCCCTGAACATCCCCGATGGTGTCACCGACCTGGCATCACACATCAAGGACATTCACTGAGTGGCTTTGGGGTGTAAAGCTCTCCACCAGGTTCCTCCAGGACACAGAACATGCCTTTACCCAAGACAATACCCTGAAATATCAGCTCAGACTAATTTCCTCATTCAGCAATCGCTCAGAGGGCAGGTCCATAGCCACTCAGCTGACTGGAATGAGCAGTGCTCCCACAGCAGGCCAGGCCGCCAGGCTGAGGGACCCCCACAGGTGCATGAATCCGTGCCCCAGGCCTCTAGTGTGTGTGTGTGTGTGTGTGTGTGTGTGTGTGTGTGTGTGTATGGGAGCATTTTTAAAAGTATGGAACAGCAAATACAAAGTGTTATTTATTTATTTTTACTATAGTTTACTGAACCATTCCTTTATTGTTAGACATGTGGGGCAAGAGATATATGTGATCACAAAGCTCTTTCCAAAGTCATAGTCCTGTCCACAAAATGCTGGGCTGCGGTCAGCGCTCAGTCTTGGCGTCTTGTCCCATCTTCCAGATGACCAGGTGCATGCAGGCGCTGGCGTCCTCGCTGGAGTTGTGGCCATCCATCCGGTTCTGGATGACGTGTCTGAGGTAGTGAGCCGTGAGGTTGCGAAGGGAGCGCTTGTAGGGGAGGCCGCGGCGGTGCGGGAAGAGCACAGATGTGTCCAGCACGGTGCCGTGGATGAGCTTCAAGGCCAGCAGGTCGCTCTGCAGGCTGTGTCCGATGAGGATGGTGTGGGCATTGAAGAGCGTCAGCAAGGCGGCCTGGACGTCGCGGATGGAGGTGCTGGTGTGGGCCAGGTGAGCCGCGGTGACTCCGGAAAACCTGGTGTTGTAGTCGACGATGTCGCGGTCCGGCCTGACGAAGGTGTCGTACACCAGCCGCAGGGCGCTGTCCACCACGCTGACGCGGGTCAGCTCCAGGCCAGAGGTGGTGTAGCACATCTCACAGTCCAGGGCGTAGATGCCGGGGTGAGCCCCTGGGGGCAGCTCTTTGTCCAAGGTCTGCACGAAGCCCTGCAGGTCCTGCTGGCGGCCGTCCTGCACGTGCTGCTGGGCCACCTGGCAGCCAGGGGAGCCGATGGGGGCCGAGCAGCACGTGTACTGAATCTCCCAGCCCCCAGCCACTGGAGTGGGGCGCAGCCGCCCCCAGTGGTAGTGACATTCTTCCTGGTGCACACAGTGGCCCCTTCGGGCCACGAGGTACTGGTTGCCACAGCGGCAGCACAGCCTGCAAGAGGCATCTTGGGGCGGCTTCTCTTGGGTGGTGAAGAGGACAGCGCCCCCGGGCCGCTTGGGGTGCACGAAGGGGTAGCCATTCTCCTTGAGCTGGGCCTGGGTTAGCAGGTGCTCCTTGAGGCGCTGGTACAGGGTGGCCCCTGGCAAAGGATCCTCTTCAGGGGGGCTGTTCGGGCGCTGGAGTGAGAAGCTGGTCTGGGCGGCCAACTTGCTCCCCAGCACCACCTCCTGGGACACAGCCCCTCTGTCACGGGTCTTGTGGAGACCAGCTTCAGGGCCGGGTTCCAGGCCCTGCATCTTGTGGAAGGTGTTTGCGGCCACGTCCTGGTCCATCCTCTTGCTGGGGCTCTGGTGGTAGGCCGCCTTCTCCTCCTTCAGCTCCTTCTCTGTGACATCCTGGGTGGAGGAGCAGAACTTGAGACCCTCATCCATAAAGAGGCTGAGATGGCGTTGACGGGTGATGGCGGGCACTTTGCCCCCACACTCTTTTGGAGGAACAGGCTTCTGAGAACTTTGCTCAGGTGGGCCGCGGGTTATGAGTTTGGGAGGCACAGTGCTGGTGGCCGTGGACACCTGGCCTGATGGGGTGCGGGCCTCTGGGAGCTGGCTGCCCAACCCCTGGGCCTTGGGAGGAGGGCTGCTGCTGCTGCTGGCCAGGAAGCGCCTCTTGGCACCTGCAGCCAGGCAGGGCATGGTGTCTCAGGCAATCCTCCTCTTGTCTCTGGCAGCTGAGAGGTGGATGGAAGGGGACTTCGGGGCCGGATCCTGGGCAGCCTGGGGCAGGCTGGCTGACTCCATGGGAGGCTTGTCTGCTCCCTGCAGCAGGTCACACAGTTCCTGGGTGGTGGGTAGCCGGGTGCGGGGGGCCAGGCCTCTCCTCACGGACTCTGGCTGGATGATGAGATATATGGGGCTCCAGGTGTATATGGGGGGCACTGGGAGCAGGCCGCCAGGGCCAATAGGTTGATGGCAGGGCCACTGGCAGGAAGGCCGGTGCACCAGGGTTGGGGCAGGGCAGGAGGCACCCAGCTCGGCCTCCTGAGCTTGCAGATGGCCAGGAGGAAACCAGCTCGGTGCCGTGACTCTCAGGAGAGCTGGAGCTCGCGCTGCTTCACTTCTCCCAGGTGGCGACATGGTCCTTGCTCTCCTGGGCTCTGGTGTCTAATGGCCTAGGCTGGGTGCCCTCAGCCCTTATATAAGCGGAAAGCCTGTCTCCAAGCAGATTAACTTGCTCAGCCAATGAATCCTATTTGATCTCATCTTCTCTAGATTGGTTTTCAGAACTCAGATGCACACATTGATCCCACCCTACTTAATCCGATATTCTCTGGACTTTAGAAAGAAATTTTCAGATCTATATCTTATTCATTATATGGATGATATTTTACTAGCTCATAAAGATCGGGCTACTTTACAGGAAATTCTTACTCAGACCGTCCTTGCTTTAGAAGAACATGGTCTAAAAATAGCCCCAGAAAAGATTCAGACTGAACCTTCTTTTTCCTACTTAGGCAGAATATTACATACCTCTACTATCACCCATCAGCCTTTACAATTAAGAAAAGATCATTTAAACACATTAAATGATTATCAGAAACTATTAGGTGATATCAACTGGGTCAGGTCATATCTAAAAATAACCACTCTTGACTTAAAACCTCTATTTGACATTTTAAAGGGAGATTCTAACCCTAAGTCTCCCCGACAATTAACTGTAGAAGGAGAAAAGGCTATAGCAAAAATAGAACAGGCCATCAATAAACAGCAACTACAGTATCTAGATTATTCCAAATCTTGGGCCTTAATTATTCTAGCCACTAAATATACTCCTACAGGATGTTTATGGCAGGAAGGACCATTAGAATGGATACATTTACCTGTCACTCCTAGGAAGATTGTACCATCCTATCCTTCCCTAGTGGCCACTCTCATTATCAAAGGTAGACGACGCAGTATCGAACTCTTTGGAAGAGAAGTTACTGAGATAATAATACCTTATAAAAGAGAACAATTAGACACACTATTACAATTTGAAGAAGAGTGGCAAATAGCTATAGGTAACTTCCCAGGACAAATTTTACATCATTTGCCAAGATCACCTATATTGCAATTTCTCTCCCTACATCCGTTTATATTTCCTATTAAATGTTCAAAAGAGCCATTATCACCTCCTGCCTCCTTAGTATTCACAGATGGCTCCTCTAATGGTAAGGCAGTAACAATCATTGACTCAATACCCATGTTCAACAAACCCTAGAGACGTCAGCTCAGAGAACAGAGCTTTTGGCAGTCATTTATGCTTTTGAACAATTGCAACAGGTTCCCTTTAACTTGTACACTGACTCTCAATATATAGTTAAATTATTTCCTCATATTGAGACCGCCTCTCTCCCACAAGGAAGAACAGCCATTTTCTCTTTGTTAACTCAGCTACAAACTTACATTCATAAACGAGAAAAGGCTTTCTATATTGGACATATTAGAGCTCATTCCTGCCTACCAGGACCCTTAAGCGAAGGAAATTATCAGGCGGATCTACTAACTCGCCCAGTAGTTTGTACAGCTCTAGAAGAAGCCCGGCGGTCTCATGCCATTCACCATCAAAATGCTTCTGCTCTCCGTCTATATTATCGCATATCTAGAGAAGCTGCTCGAAGTATTGTGCGTGACTGCGGCCATTGTCCTACTCATTTTCCTAGCCCTGCTACTGGAGTTAATCCAAGAGGACTTAGACCCTGTGACTTATGGCAGATGGATATTACTCATGTCCCATCTTTTGGCAAACTTTGCTATGTGCATGTTTGTATTGATACCTTTTCTCATGTTATCCTTGCTTCTGCACGTACAGGAGAAGCCTTTAAAGATGTAAGTCAACATTTATTCCAATGTTTTTCCTACCTAGGAATACCAAGGGCACTTAAAACAGACAATGGGCCTGCCTATACCTCTAGAGCTTTTAAAAACTTATGCTCTACATTCGGCATCGCACATACTACAGGAATACCTTACAATCCTCAAGGCCAAGCAATAGTAGAAAGGGCTCACCAAACTTTAAAAACACAAATTAAAAAATTACAAGAAAATGAGTTTAAATATTCCTCTCCTCATCATGTTCTACAACATACTCTATTTGTAATTAATATACTAAATGTAGATTCTGAGGAAAATTCCCCGATGTACAGACATTGGAATCCTGATCTAACCAAACCTAAAGCCCTCGTCAAAAAAAAAAATCCAAAGTGTTATTGTTGTATTACATCTTTCAGCATTTACTATTTGAAAATGTAGAGTGCTTCTTTTATCTAGAAAATGTCTCTGAAAATCAATTTAAAATTATTGAAGCTGATAGGTAAGTCCTTTTAAGTTTTTAGTTATTTTATGTATGACAGATTTTTAAGTGGTAATTATTAATGCAGTTTTCTTACACTTACTGTTTCCTAGACTCCATTTCTTTCAAAAGTTTTCTGAATTATATATATAGTTGCTGAAGTCCTGCGGGTGCTCTTCTGAGTATTGTTGTTTTTTAAACCTAAGCTGTCCAAGATAAGATTCCATACAGAAGACAACCATTAATACAGCAAATAGAAAGTATTACAATTGTTCTACTTAAAATAATTGCCCCCTATTGGAGGTATAGAATATAAACTCCATTTATAATGGGAGGGGACAAATGAAGAAGAGGAGAATCTGTTGAAAGATATTTGTTTGGCAAATATACCATATCTACTTTGTGAAATTACCAAGTGCCTAAGGACTAGAAAAGTACGCACATACCCCTATGAAGAGGCTTCTTTGTTTTCTCCATCTCTGGCCCTTTAAATAGTGTCTGGATAATCTCATATTCACTCCCTGGAACTGTGAATTTGTAAAGAGTGCTGATGTAGGACAGTCATGTGATTGATCGAAACACCAGGAATACAAGCACGCAGGCAAGATGCTTATTCTGGCAGCTTCATAATTTGGGCTCCTCAGTGGGGAAATATCTCAAGCCCTCTCCTTTACAAAAGTTCTCTCTATATCTCAACCTTAACTCCTTTCTATTTTTAATCCCCTTTCAACACAGTGAAGGCTGAATTGACACACCAGTTTTTGTATTTTAGCCATCAACACTTGAGTTGAAGACAAACTACACTGCCTGTTAAACTCAAGTGGGATAAAACCCTTCTGACTCTTTTCTCACACCTACTCTGAGTGTCTTTATCACAAAAGTTGGGTGTAGGGCAAACGATCTGATTTAGAAGAGGTGGTGCTGTCTGTTTCTCTGGGTGACTTTGGGCAATCTCTCAAGTTCTTTTCCTAGAGAATGTAATGTCGATAATAAAGAACTATGTTATCTGTCTTACCCACAATAAGTATTCCAAAAAAATTTTGTTGCACAGCCAGTGTGGCTCAGTGGTTGAGTGTCAACCCATGAACCAGGAGGTCACAATTCGTTTCCAATTAAGGCCACATGCCTGGGTTGTGAGCTCGATCCGAGGGGTAGGGAGCGGTGGGTGGGAGGGGCGGGGGGACATGCAGGAGGCAGCAGATCAATGATTCTCTCATCATTGATGTTTCTATCTCTCGCTCCCTCTCCCTTCTTCAGGGGCGGGGGGGACATGCAGGAGGCAGCAGATCAATGATTCTCTCATCATTGATGTTGCTATCTCTCTCTCCCTCTCCCTTCTTCTCTCTGAAATCAATAAAAATATTTTTAAAAATTTGTTGTTTGCTGACTTCTTTTTTTAAAATATATTTTATTGATTCTTTACAGAGAGGAGGGGAGAGGGATAGAGAGTTAGAAACGTGGATGAGAAAGAACCATCGATCAGCTGCCTCCTGCACACTCCCGACTGGGGATGTGCCCGCAACCAAGGTATATGCCCTTGACCAGAATTGAACCTGGGACCCTTCAGTCCACAGGCCAACACTCTATCCACTGAGCCAAACTGGTTAGGGCTGACTTCTTGATTGAGAGGCAGAGCTTAGATTCATAGATGGAGTTGTTCTCTTTTTTTCTTCATCTTCTCTCTTACTTACTGCTTAGTTGTTTGATTTTTGCTCTACTCTCTAAAAGAATTCCTCAACTGGATTTTCCAACTCTTCTGTTGAGTTTTTCATTCATGCTACCATAGCTTTAATTCCAAAGAATGATTTTTGCTATTTGAATACTATTCTTCTGTAGTGTCTTATTTCATGAATGTAATATCTTCTCCTTTTTAGTTTTTTTTCTCTTTGCCTAATTGCTATTTCCTCAAACTTTCTTTCTTGCACTTACTCATTTTTTAAAATATACTTTTTTATTGATTTCAGAATGAAGGGAGAGGGAGAGGGAGATAGAAACATCAATGCTGAGAGAATTATCAGCTCCTCCTACGTGTCCCCCATTGGGCTCCTCCTGCATGTCCCCCACTGGGGATTTCTCCAATTTTCCTCAAATTTCCTTTCTTGAATTTTGGTTTTTCTCTTTCTTTCATAGGATTTTTTCAACTTTCTGATACTTAATTATTTGGTTGCTCATATTTCAGAGTAGGACACTAAAAGCTGATCTAAAGATTTGAGCATATGTCAACTCTGAGTTTTAGTGTGAAATGATATGGTTGGGTCATTTGTAGAGGAAATCCTGAATTGGTATCTTTTGCTTTCTTTGTGGACTGGTCCAAACCCCAGAGAAGGATCTTCCAATCTCCTGCCTAGAGGGTCTAGGTCTGACTGTCAGTGTCTTGGAGTCAACTGGAAGCATCCTATATGATATGAATTTCCCATGCAATATAGCTTCAGCCAAAATAACTATCTCACATCACATCACCCAGCAGCAATTAGTGCTGATCTTAGAGAACAGTGACATGGCCACTAAAAACTCAGTTACGCCCTGGCTAGTGTGTTCAGTGGTTAGAGCACCGGTCTGTGCACCAAAGAGTCAAGAGTTCAATTCCTGGTCAAGGGCACGTACCTGGGTGGCAGGTTCTATCCCCAACAGGGTGCATGTGGGAGGCAACCAATCAATGTGTTTCTCTCACATTGATGTTTCTTTCTCTCTCTTTCTCTCTCTCTCTTTCACACTGCGCCTCCTCTGAGCCTCGGTGTGCTGTTATTTTTCCTTCTAGTTGAAGAGTCTCTCCTCAGCCAGCCTTCCTGTGGTTCTGGGTGATGTCCGTTCCGTCTTTTAGTTGTATTTTTGAAGTGGTTGTTTGCGGCAGCAGTCTGCGGTGTTTACCTATGCCGCCATCTTGGTCTCTCTCCCGATGTTTCTCTTTCATCGATGTTTCTAACTCTCTATCCCCTTCCCTTCCTCTCTGTGAAAAATCAATAAAACATATTTTTAAAAAATATCCTTGGGTAAGAATAATTTTAAAAATTACAAGCCTGGCTGGTGTTGCCCAGTGGTTGAGTGTTGACCCATTCACTAAGAGGTCACTGGTTCAATTCCCAGTCAATTCCCAGGGTACATGACCAAATTTCGGACTGGATCGATGTTGACTTTCCCATTGATGTTTCTTTCTCTCCTTCCCTCTCCCTTCCTCTCTCTCTAAAAATCAATTTTAAAAACATAAAAAAATAATAATTAATAAATAAAAACTCAGTTACATTGCCAGCTTCTGGGACCATGCAGTATTGGGGTGTGAAGTTGGGGTGTGGTCCTCCAGGGTGAGGTAAATGCTCTAAGCCTTTGACTAATATAAGGAAATACGTTCTCTTCTCAGGGAACAAAGGAGTGGAAATGAGGGTTATGCCTCCCACAGTTTGACCAAATGGTCCTTGCGCAAAGTATTTATTTATCCATCAGGGACATAGAACTTTGTGGCGTAGACAAGTAGAAATGTCTTTCATTCCGAAAATAAAGGATGACGATTTAGGGGAGAAGATAGGATTACAGACAGCAGTTTGAGGGTCATCAGATATCAGATGTAAAGGTATAAGAGTAGATTAATCCTCTGAAGGAGAGTGCAGACTGAGCAGCAGCCAAAGACTCTGTCCTGGGACATCCCACAGTCAGAGGCTGGAAGAATGCCACGGTAGATTGTCACATGAACACTACTAGAATAAAGCAGAGTACATGGAAAATAATTCACCAAACATGTATTGAGTGACCTCTGATATGGTCACTGAGCTAGATACTGACAGCATATATTTTTTCATTGATGTAGTATATAGGGTGGGATAAAAGTAGGTCTACAGTTGTTTGTATGAAAAATAATACAATAATTAATACATAACAATACAAGAATAAACTCACAACTGTAAACCTACTTTTGCTCCACCCTGTACTTAACAATAAAGAATGTGTTCAAAGAATCACTACAAAATCCAAGACCACTTGCTATCCTGAGACCATTCAATAATGTTTTAGAAGAAATTAATTGTAATACTATAGCATATTCAGTAGAGGGCACTAGGTGATCAAGATAGTTTTGAACTTCAAGTTATCAAAATAGTTAATAGGAGCATCTTTCAGAACTACATAGTCATGATTTTAAAAAACATATCAAGTGTTCCAAAAATGGAACAAGCCTTAAATCAAAAGATAAAAAGGTTTGATATATTAATATTGGGGAGATCACTAGGTTCAATATTCTAGATATTTGCACAATTATAGATTTTTTGTGCGATTCTATTTATAAAATAATTTCCATTACTTATTTGCAATTCTCTATTAGGAAATGCACTTATGAAAGAGATGGTTTAGAGCAGTGGTTCTCAACCTTCCTAATGTCGCAACCCTTTAATACGGTTCCTTATGTTGTGGTGACCCCCAATTTCATTGTTACAAATTGAACATAATTAAAGCATAGTGATTAATCACAAAAACAATATGTAATTATATATGTGTTTTCCGATGGTCTTATGCGACCCCTGTGAAAGGGTCGTTCGACCCCCAAAGGGGTCGTGACCCACAGGTTGAGAACCGCTGGTTTAGAGTATTAGAATAAGCCTTGGGTCAAAAGGCAAAGGGCTAGAATTTGAGATCACTTCCCCCTGCCTACTCCTACCCATTGTCTTTTGCTAATCATATGGCCTGGTGGCAAATTACTTAATCTCCATTTCCATACCTCTAAAATAGTATAATTTCTCCTTCTCCTCTATTTATGAATGTGAAAATGTGTTGCAAAGTGTTGTAAATATGTAGGGTATATTAAAGTACTGTATAAAAAGTCAAGCTGTTAGAAAAAGTAGCACTGTTTAAGCACTGTTAGTTTTCCCCAAAGCTGAGATGGCATCCCAGGTCCAGGGCCTCATCTCTGAAGATTGTAGGGTTGCTATTAATCACGTGGCATCTTATGAGCTGTGTATCAGTGATGCTTCTTTATCTACGGCCTGTTATTACAATGAAGACACCTCTTTTTGCAAAGGGAACATGTCAAACAGTTCCTAAGACCTCTAAGAAAACGTGGGGGTAAAACCTGCCTTCCAGGGATTAACAGGCCTGATATAAATAACTGGGGAGCTGGCATACAAGCTCTAGAGTCTGCTCTGGAGTTTGGAGAACAAGTTAAACAAGCTCCTGTTAGACCTGAAGACCGTGGCTTCTGCCAACAGTGAAACCAATCTCTCACGCTTCCCGGAAAAGTAGCTGGATAAACAGAAGAGGAACACAGGCTGACTGGAGCACCAGCTTGTATATCATAGGGGATTAGAAAGGCAGGCCCAGCAGAAGACACATTTTAAAAGCCTGCGGAAGCGTCAGGTAAAGAGACCTAACATCTGAAGGCAACAAAGCAAGTCCACCCGTTGTAGTAGGTCCCAAATCAGCTACTTAAAAATCTCAATGTTCTCCATTTGACAGAAGACTGCTTTCCTTCATTGTTGTGTGTACAAATAAAGGTTTTTGCATTTTTTAAATAAATCTGGTCTTTGCATTACAAATCCTGAAACTTAGCACAATGAGTTCTTTTAACTCTTTCAATGAAAAAGCTCTTATCAAGCAGTTTAATTAATTCACCAAATAGTAGGTAAACACCCAAGAGTATAGAAGTAAAATTTGGGAGATGTTGCTCCTCCTCAAAATGCTTAGCAGTGTGGAAGGTGTGAGAAGGGAGAGAAGGGTTAAGGATGGTTCCTGGTTTCTGCCTTAGAGTACCTGGGTGGATGGTGGTACCATTTTTGAAATAAAAGATACAACGGAGGAATAGAATTTGAGAGAAAATAAAGAATGCAAATTTGATGTGAGACATGATAAAATAAAGTGCCTATGGGACATCCAGGCAGAGAAGGCAGGTGGCAACTAAGTATAGAGAACAAGAGTTCATAAGAGAGATTTGCCCTGGAAAAAAAGAGAATTGGGAATGTAACAATAAAAATAAGATGATTAGGGGCAGGGGAACAAGAGAATCCTTTCCCAGGGCCAGACTTGCTTTGCTAAACCCACTTAGAGAGGCTAGGCTTCAAAACTCTATGGGAAGATTGACAATTATAAGTTAGAGAAGTTA